CCGATTCTGAACTAGAACAATTCCAATCTGGAGTATGCCATTTATATTATATTTGATATTTCTTTTCAAAATTTTTTAAAAACCTTTTATATTCTTTTTTTTAAAACTTACTACATACTATTTGACAAATAATTCTTAAAATTTTTAAACAATTCTTATATATTAATTAACAAAAAATCTAATTTTATTAAATATCAAATTATCTATTTTACTAATAAACTTAAAAAACTATATTCAAACTCCTACTAATTTCCTACTATTAACTCACTACAAGAAAGAACAAAGGTTTTAATTAAAGCATCACTACACTATATCTACACATATATAAGCAATATATATACTATTCTCTCTAATGATACTCCTCGGTTTTTATCAAAAATGTCTTAGCATTCAAGCCACCAGTGTTATATACAAACAAGCTTTTTAATAACTGACAATACTATTTCAAAAACACATAACCATCTTCAATCTGAAACAGCAAGAGCATGTCTTTGTATTAAAAGTTGGATTAGTAAAAAATTAAAAAAAAATCCCAACTTTTTTATCTAAAAAGTTGTATTATCATATACTTTTATACGTCTTCTATATTGCTTATAAGAAAATATATAAATTATCTTTTGAATCTGTAAAATTCATCAAAAAATTAATCGATCCGGCTTAAAAGTTGGCAAATTCATGATAATCAGAATAAATTTTCATGGCGCCATTTTTTTTAAAAATTATTGTATTACGTTAAGCAGGTTGTACGTACGTACGTACATTTTTTCTAAATTTCTCTGCTAAAATAAACCGGTCCTGGATCGGACTGTTTAATGATCCGGTCTACTAATCATGGTTTGGTCCGCGGTCCGCTACCCGGACCAGACCGTAACATCCTTACGTAGTCGATGTTATCCTCGGTGCACATTAATTAATACGTATATAAGTGTAGACATAAATTCCTTTTACATTTTGTTATGAATCATAAATTTATAAATTAATGCATACAATTGCTATAAATAAATAATTGTAGTTGTAAGGTATTTACATGATTCAAATCTATCATTAGATTATTAAGCACGACGTCTACTCTTTTGCGTTTGCTTTCTATTGACAACTATTCGTGGATGCTCATTTGATAACTTTTCTAGCGTTTTTTTATTTGTTTCAGGTATCCACAACGTTGAAAAAATTCCAAGAAACATGAAGAATGCAAAGATTAAAATTAAACGATCCACAAACTCGTTCTTGCCGCCGATATCTTTGAGTTGAATGAATCCTACTTGTGCTATAATTGCACCAAGTTTTCCGGATGCAGCTGATATACCATACCCGGTGGATCGGTATCTCGTAGGAAAAACTTCACTTGGAACGACAAATGTCGTTGCATTAGGTCCAAAATTTTGAAATAGCTAATAAAAAAGTTGTTAAATGAGTTGAAAAAATTTGATATTTAAATGATATTAAAAAAAAAAAAAAAGGTAGATTGATGTTAACCTGACATAATGAGAATATGGTAACGAATAGAGCCATTTTTTGTTTTATATATTGATAACTTAATCCCCAAACCACAAATAACACAGTAAGAACTATAAATCCCATTAGTTGAATCTTTTTACGACCCCATCTATCTACTAGCAAAACGGTAAACCAATATCCTGGAATCGTGCCTAACATGGTGATGATAATGTTGCCAACAGACATGTTCCAAAGAATTGAATAGGTGTCTTCACCACCCCCAAATCCAATAGCTCGCAAGATGATCGCATTGTTCAATCCTATGCCTTTAATGGACACATTCATACATATTTAACTATTGAAATAAATAACGTAAATGGTCGTATACATGACCCGGGTTTGTCACATTCCACCAATTTTAAAGCCTTTGGTAACTCCAGGCATAATATATAGCTGAGAGCTTATATTGTAAAAAGAAGTTCTTAAAGTGCAAATGCACCTTGCATTTATAATAGGGCAGTCTACTCATATATGGGATAGGGATTTCTTATGCGACCATTTACGGTAAATGCAAAGACACAATTCAATTTAAACTAGATTCACTTACCGTAAAAGGCTATATCTAATACGAGCCATGATAATGAAGTTCCTAATAGAACTTTTCCATTTTCCCATTTACTAAAGTATTCTTTAAAATCCTGAATATATACATAATTAACATTGTGC